GTTTGTTTCAGAGAAGCAGAACTTGACCCTGTCAGTCTTTGTTCTGGAAGGAGGACACTTACACAAGACTTTCCCAAAGAGGATATGGTTTGACAATTTTGAAGTGACCAAAATGCAAACCCTCTAAGTACCTAGGAGCTAGTGGTTTCAGCTGTTAATGCTGCTACAAGCAGCCATGGTTTGTGAAGCAAAATGCTGGAAGACCACTGGTTCATAGCAATGCAGTCCTAGGGGTAGATTCTACCTGGAAATGAGCAACTCCTGTAGCATCTGACCATGAAAATGCTGGGCTTATAGCCAGAGGCATTGTCTGGCTGTGAAGGATGTGGTTTCCCATCAAAAGTGCAAATTCAGACAGTTTTTTGCCTATTTATAGGAACATACAGAATGTTTTTACTCACTTGCACCACTTACTTCCAAAAAGCCAGTGTGCAAATGGCACCTTCAGTAAAGGGGCAACTCCGATCATCTCTTAAAAGCGGCAACAATGCCAACCTGCATCTGTGCAGGTGTTGGCTGATACTCGAGACTAGAACTGAACAGAAAAATATTCATGAGACAGCAAAGCTGAGTCTGCCAGACATATCCCAGAACAGCTCATGTGGCTTGGGTGCTCACTTAGGAGGCTGGTGTTAAATGTCTGCAGAAAAATAATTTTTAAAAAATAACCATCCATACACATTCTGCTGAATCTGGAAAGGACAACTCTCTCATGTTCAAGACAAATGGGATGCATATAAGGCTGAGACAGCATCTGCCTCTTGCTCTCTGGACCAAAGATCACACGAGGCAGAGAAAAGAGAAAGAATCCTCTAGCATTCTCAGCAAACTATGAACTGACAGAGCTGGGCTCAGGTCCCACTCCAGAGTTTGGGGAACTGTTTCAATTTCCCTTCCCCTTTGCACTTCAGACAAAAGAACACAACCCACTCCTGAATAATGCAATGGGCTGATGCTTAAGGTACTCAAGTGAAAGGCAGGAGACCCAAGTTCCAGTCCTTGACTTGAATTGAGTACAAACATCAAATTCAGATTGCTTATGTCCTACGACAACAGAACACACCGATAACTCTTTTGAGATTTCACTGCTTTTGACCTGCACAACCACTGAAGAAAACCTTGGCAAACCTAGTGCCTGCCATAACCCATGGCTTTCTTTGTTGGGGTTTCTGGTGTGGCTCCCCCCTCTGCCCCATCCTAAAGAATTGCAATTTTCTCAGTAGATGCTTGAAACAGAGCTCTTGTTCATACTGTTATAGCATTAGCTGGGCTAATTAATACACCCTGACACAGCTGCAGGAGTGCACTGATGTTTTATAAATGATGTATGGGCTAGAATTAGCTTATTAAAGAATTCCTGAAGACCTATGTGCATACAATTCAGTTGTTGCAGCTATTTGCGTTACTCTTGGTACTCTGTGGACCCTGCAGCAGAGCACTGAGCTTCCGAGCCCTGGCAAAGACATTCAGAGAATCTGAGTGGGTGAAAATGAGAGAAAGCATCAGGTGTAAATGGTACCTCTCCCCATAGTTATTGCCTGTAAAAAAAAAAAAAAAAAGAAAGCTCACAAACACGGACCATTTTAATTCAATGAAGAAATAACAAAAATCCTGTCTTGCTCTTGTCCACAAACAGCAAAATAAATTCTAACTGTAAACGAAAGCATCCCAAGACTGTAGTAGTATCAAGCCACATCAGTTTCTGATGCTGCAGTGAGCAAGGGGCCCCTATCTGTTCACTGGGATGTGACAATGCAGGAAAGTACAAGACTTCAGAAGTAGACCTAACTGCATTTTTTTCCCTGAAATTTCATTTCAGGAAGAGTGATTTTCCAGCTACCAAGTGAGATGGCTTATAAACAGATTAGGACAAGGTTTCAATCACTAAGAGAGTGGTTCTACTATGACACTTAGGGGAAAAAAATCCGCTACAATGTTTTGAGAATAAAAGACTCTGAAATAAGTTGTCCTTCTCAATTAGTACTCCACCTGAGAGAGGCTGGATTCAGAACGTACTGCATCAACAGGGACGCCCACGGTCAAACCCCTGTGCTCACACCTTCTCAAGGCAGCTGTATCTTCCTACATGTGCTTTGCCTGCCTGCGAGAGCTACTCCTCAACAGCAAAGCATGATCTCCACTGGGCCACTGACCTTGGAGAAGAGTCTCCAGCTTTGGTATGAGCATCACTTAAGAGCTGCACACAACCTTTTCATTTCGAAGTACATGGCACTGATTATTAGAAAAGGTGAAATATCTTCAGATAAACTTGTAGGATTTTCCACAGAACAGCTTCCTCTTTCCTCAGAAACAGGGAATGACAATCCCAAACACACAGCAGCACTCAGGTCTAGCAGCCCAGGCCTGTAGCACGCTCAGCGATCCAGTGTAGGGGAGAGCAAGCAGATGCACATCATCAATGACAAAGCAAAGCAACCTGCAGAGAGCAGCTCCTTCCATCCCTGGCTACCTGCAGCGGCTGCTTGCTTGCCTTTTGGGGTTTTTTTTTTTTGTCTTTCCCAGGTAACGTAGCTGCCTAGTGCTGATAACATTTATTTATGTGAGAAGGTGAACCCACTGATTCAGAAACTCAGTTCTTGTGTGCAGTGAAGTTTCCTGTGACCAAACGGTTAAGATCGCAGCCCACCCTCCTCCTGCTTGACAGAGACTAGAAGTACTAGGCATGCACACAGCATGGGAGGCTGTCTTTGGGAAACCACAGCAAACCTTTCTGCCCAGAGCCTTCAGAGGAGCATTAACACCAAACCTGGGAGCTTTTATTCTGCTTCTGAGAACAAACAAAAGAACCAGAAAGTGAGACCACAAGGCATTTGAAAAAACACTGAAAAAAAGATGACTGTGTCAAAGGAGAGCAGAGATACTAATTCACCAGCAATCTGGGCATTCTTCAGAGGAGGGCAGAAGAAGTGATAGCTGAGAAAATGTTTCAAACGTAAAGAACTTTTAAAAAAGAAAACAAAATAAAAAAGTATTTTTTACTCAGCAACCTTAAGATTTAGGCTAAAAACCAGCATTTGCAATAAGGTGTTTACACAACCAAGAACACTCCTATAGCGGTCTTGATTGCAGTGATCTAAAATATAATCAGCACAGAACAATTTTTTCAATAAGTTAACAATATATCAGCTTGTTCTTCAAACACTTTCACTCATGTTTGAAAACATCTCTTTCTCTTTTAGCCACCTTACATGCTTTTTAAGTAATATCTTCTTTCAAGTTCTCACTCAGCAAAGCCAACCAAGCGTGGGCAAACAGCCTGGGGCACTCAGTAGTTGCTAGAAAAGTTTTCAGTTTGTGTTCTTCACTCTCCCTCCAATACACTTCCCTTCCAGCATCCCTTCTGAAGTGCTCCTATACTTTCATCATGTTTTAACAAGGGCATCTTGCTTCTTTCCCCAGGTACCAGACAGCTGTGCGTATGAGATAATCCTGAGACCAGTGCTCTACAGCAGTGTAGAAAGCAAAAATCTCCTATTCCTTAAAATAACCCAGCCCTTCTTCAGTACTGGGCTTGAAAGCCCATGATAATAACTGGGGTCAAATGAAGTCTTTTTTACTATTGTCAGCACTGCAAGGCACAAACACATCGTCTTCCTGTCCTTTACAGGTGGCTTCTCCCTTCACACACTGACTCCTCTTACCTTGTTGCTAGGGAAGCAAGTGCCATTCTGCCAATTCCAGCAGGCCAGAATCACTCCATACTCCATTAAAAACAGAGCCCAGGCAAGGAAGGACTCCACCCAACTGAACAGTAGGCTGGTTTACGGCAGCCAGGATTACACCCTTGCTCAAGTTCTGACTGCCAGTCTCGGAGTCCCAGCATCCTCACACCTGGGGACATTTCTCTGAAGCTCTCCCATACACACACAACTCTGCTGAATCCATCTACCCATTTGCAGTTTTAATTATCTGCAGCACAGTAGTGGAAAACCAACCCTGATCTCCAGTGCCAACCTATTTTGAGCTCTGGGCTAAGACAAAAGCTAAAAAAAGTAGTTTTCAGACTTTACTAAGTGTTACTGTTAACATGCATCAGTTACATTATCCATCCTTCTGCTATTTTCCCTTTGGCTTACTGCCTCCCAAAAGTAAGTACATGGGGGAAAGGGCAGGGCACAGTCAAGATACATCCCAACACTCAGAGCCATATTCTTAATAAATAATAATAATGAATCTTCTTTATGTGTTAAGCTCACAGAAAGACATGTTTCAATGCCTGATTTTTAATAGCCCTTGGTCAGAGTGAGGCCTACGGCACAATACCTTCCTCTTGCCAAACAATCAAATTTTAGTATAGTGACAACACTCTGTTATTCAGTTCTTTCCTTTAAAAAAAAAAAATAAAAAATCACAAAATTGAATGTCACCATGGGAACAGTCTAAAGTTGATTTTGGAAAGAGGCTCATTTCCTATAGGTTTTCTGTTGGCATAAAAATCATGTCACTGAACTGTATCAGAAGCAAGTACTTTATGAACCATCATCTCTAAAGATACCATTCAGTTCTGAAAATATCCTCCTGAATGATTGCAATTCTTTAGTTTCTGAAACAGAATAAAAGGCCCAGAAAGGTTTCTTCCCTGTTTTTCTCAGCAAGAAACACATCTCAAGCTACCACCAGTGTGATCTAATTCAATCATTCTTCAGCCTGTAATGTGTACTAAGTGTCAGTATGGAAAAACTCCTTCTTAGAAGAACAATTAAAGCACTCATCCTTGCTGGCTGGCTGAACAAACGACACATGTTCACACAGGAATAATTCAGTCAACCATCTTAATAAGGATTTACTTTAAACAGAACCTTGTATGGGTACACTAGACTCAGTTTCATTAAGGAGTAAGTTGGATTTTTATACAGCATGAACCACTGGCAACCTAAAACAGACCCACTGAAGAATGGAATGGAGAATCAAACGCAATGTTTCAGACCCAAGCTCTATGTGCCTTTAATACTTTCTTTCATTTTCTTTCTTTTTTTTTTTTTTTGTTTGAGTGCACACTACGACAGACATTTGCATTTATCATGTTTTTAACTTCTTTTCTAGGGATGAACTCTCTGAATCTGCATCTTCCAACTCTGCTCTGTGTCTTTTCAGTCCTCCAAGAGATTGGGTGCTCTCACTGACCATAGGATGCAAGTCAGCAGTATCCTCTCTTGTGCTCACATTGTAGCTGTTGGAGTCCATTTCAGACAGGCAGCAGTCTTTGTGCAAGGTCACACCCACCTGTACGAGGTTGCCATTATCAGCATTTGAGTGCACCTGTAGTCCTTGTGTCACAGCCTCCTGCTCTCCAAAGCTCTGTCCATTGTTGAAGCATGAAGGGCGAAGATGCAAGTGGCCGTTATTGTGGTTAACACAGGAGGTGTCGAGGCTCCTCTCCTCACTGTCATCAGTTTGGTTTCTGGAGCAGTGACCTGACATGCTACAGATGGCAGCAGTAGAGAATGGAGGGACCAGTGAGTGATGGCTCGATGCTGGTTGACAGTTCTGACTATTTTTCTGTTCCACGAGTCCTGCAGTCTGAATGCACGGTTCTTCGGTACAACTAATCAGCCCTTTGCAGTTAGCTTTTCCATTGAGCTTTTTAGTCTCAAAAGAATGCTCTACACCTCCACTGCTAGTGTCTTCAGATGTGTTTTCTTGACCCTCCATCCACCGCTGATTGTCACAGTCATGAGCTTGACCGTTACTAGAATTTTCTACCAAGCCACATTCTTTTAAAGTTTCTTTGTTGTGGCTTTCCACAGAAAGAGCTGGGGAACCTTGAGGAACTACTGAACTCAAGTTCCTAGCATCTTCCTTATTTAACGAGTATGCTGTACTGTGCCTTCCACTAGTTCCTGGTTTCCCTTCATCATTCTCCCCATCTCCTCTGGAGGACTCACCATCTTTGCTAGCTGAATATGATATGTAAGAATAATGAAGCCATTTGTAAGCTTTGTAAATCTTTCTCTCCACTGATTCACTGTCTGAACAAGGAGAGGTCCTTTCTTTGACAACTTCTTTGTTGGCTGAACTCCTTTCTGGCGAAGAAGCTGGAGAAGAAGATAGGTCATCTACTTTGATCTGGGGGTAATCATAGATGTCCTCACCTATGTAGGGGGTCACATTCTCTGTGTTAGTACTAGTCCTTTCCTCCTTTTGCATCTTCTGTTGGCGCCTCAGTGCATTGCGTTGCCTCATAGATGTGCGTCGTTCATTCAGCTCCTCTTCATCTTCTGTACTGCTGCTGCTGCTTGAACTGCTGGATTCATTCTCCTCAGGACTCGGGGACCGTGGCCGTGGGAAAAGGTCTGTGTCTAGTTCTGCCTCACAGGTATTGTCATCAGAATCAGACTCATTGGAAAGGGCCAGGAGACGTTTATCCTGATACTTTCTCAGGGCAGAGAGCCTCTGCTGACGGGAAGCCACATCTTCTCTGGCTGAGGGGGATTCAGTTGATCTTAAGGCCCTTAAGTTATAGGCAGTTTCATCAGACTCTTCAGCCACATGTGGTGGGGAATGATGCAAAGAGGCAGAGGACTCTGACTCACTGTAAGCAGAACGTTCGCTTACTCCTGCGTGGAGCTGCAGGATTGTGCTCTCACTGAGGTCGCTGTCCGAGTCAGAACTCCAGCCCTCGATCTCCCGACGCACCAGGGAGTCAAAAAAGGCCATCATCCGTGGGTCTTCCTGGACTGACTGGTTGGCATAATCATGAGACAAACCACTACCACTGTTCAACACAAGACTGATGTACTCTTCATGAGTGTAGAGGCAACGCGAGTCATCCTCAATTCTACCATCCAGATCCCCCGTGCAGTCAGGCTGTTTGTAAGGACTCCAGATCTGTAACAGAAAATAAAAAAAATACATATGTCTTCAAATTTGTAAACTATTACACGCATTTGAAGTAGAACAGTAGTGCAAATACCCAGAACAACTTCAAGTTGCAGATTGTTTTTATTGATTTTTACCCCTCAGGCCCATACTTACAAGTATTCCAGAGTCATGGGTTTTTTTTCCTCCTCCTCTACAAATGTGTTTTTCCTGCATCCGCTTCACCTATCCAGAACTTGAAAGCTCTCACACTGCAGATTATCCATCATTTCAATATTTCAGTGTGTAATAATTTCTCCCAAATTGCAGGGCTTTATTTTTATGTAATAGGGGATGCTTACTCACTAACTGTAAGAATAGTCTGTTGCCTAGAATACAGTCTCCGCACTAATAAAGGCACTTGTTTCCCAGGAAACTAGAGTTGCTTGTGCCAGTGATGTAGCGTTTCATCCAGCTGCATAGTCAGTCACACCTGATCAGCAGGCAGGGAGCTGAATGTATGGAGGAGAAAAGCAGGCCTGCATCACTCCCTGCAGGGAACAGTCTTGAAGGAAAGAAAGCATCCAACATCCTCTCAAGACACAGCAGCAGTTTTAGTTAATGGGGAAGGGTGAAGGAGAAGAGTTGTACTGAAAGCTACTTTTGAGGCGGAGAGAAGTAACATTGTAAAGTGTAATGATTTAAGCAATAGCACAGCCTTGACTGTGCTGTCCATCTAGCCTTCCCTCAGTATTCCTGGTGTGGAGAGGAAAAGGAAAAAAAAAAAAAGCCCCAAAGAAGGTCCACTACTATCCCTAAGAAACTGGTAATCCATAGCAAAGATAATAGTTGGATCTCCTTACCTTTCTCAGTTTTACTCACAGTTTTGGGGCAGTATGATGAAGGCACTGATTAGACAACCATTATCACTTTGCTCTAGATTGACTGTTAACATGTATAGACTTTCATCAAACATTCTTAACCTTTCAATTATTCAAGAGAACAGAAAGACTCTCTCTTCATCATCTAAGTTTTCCATGCTCCACTTCCTAAAGACAAGGTAGGAAGCAGTATTCTCCCAGTGGATGCATGAGAGATTGTTGATTTGGGGATACACTAAGGTTTTGAATAGAAAAATATTAAAAAAGCCTCTACTTCTCTAAGGACTATTCTGAGTTGCTGTCTTCTTGATGATTTAAGTAGCACATGTTCAGTACCTTCTATCATGCCTGGACAAGCAGGCTGGCATGCTGGCCTCTTCCTCAAGTAGTGTTAGATTGATCACTAGGTTTTATAAAACTCTTTTTTTCAAGCAAGAGAATTAGAAAACTCTTAAGATTCTGTATGAACCAATATAAATGAAGGACAGGTACTCTCTGAAGCCCCTCTAAGAAAGGTCTGTTTTATAATGAAAAGTAATCTAAAAAGGTACACAAAGTGCACAGAGTGATTCCACATCCTTGTTAGTGCTACTAGATCTTTTTGCTCACTCTGCAAGTATAAGAGAAAATACAGCAGCATTAAATATTGAAAAGATCGCTACAAAGAGTCCATAGTGAAGCTTTTCCGTTCCAAGACAGATTTGTTCAGAGAGAAGGAGTAAAGAATAAAGAGAAGTCAAGGGAATTCAGGATGAATACTTGTTTGTACAGCATCAGATGTCTCTGGAGATCGATGTCCCTACTTTTTAGACGTTTTGCTATGAAGCCTGCCAGAGTCCCAGAAAGAAATCAGATTAAGAAGCTATCCTTGGCAGAAACGTGAAGTCTTTAAACTAGCAGCAACTGGTCCAGTGCTCTCTGTGGCATCTGAAACGGGCTTCTTTGTAAATGGAATGCCTTTGCCTTTTCTCATCCTCTGACTGATGCAATGTTGAGGAAGAATGCGAGCAAATTGGAGAAAACAAGTTGGCAAATCATTCCACTGAAGCAACAATCTATCAAGAAGTTCTTTCTCTGTCATAGGATTAAGGAGCTGAATATTACTCAGTGATGCCCTGAGTATGGATATAAAAATAAGAACAATAACAGAAAAGGGAAGGACAAAACTACTTCTCTACTTCAGCAGAGACGCTTCAGACAGCATCTTTGAATTGCTTGTATTCCACGGTGGCAAACCCACAAATTCTGAAACAAAAAAGTAGTTATGCCCATAGCGTGAGAATAATTAAAACCAGCTATATTAGATTATCTGATTAGGCAGAGGCAGTTAGCCACAATAACATGAATCTGTCACCATAGCAACATGGAAAAACAGACTTTGCTATCTTTGATAACACTGATCATTTTTAAACAAATGGGCCCTACAAGAGTTGTGCTCAGAACCACAGTTACAGAGTATTCCATTTCCAATACAAAATCAGTATTTCTTTCTGAAAAATCCTTATGCACTTTATCGATTTTATCTTTTCTGGAATTGTATTCTAACTGCAGAATTCTCCGTGGCCCTCCTCTATGCCCCACACATCAGAAGGAATGTCTCATTCATTTCTCCTGCAATGCAATTCGTTTTCCTGCCAGCACATCCCAATGTCTCACACACTTAACTGAGGAGAAAGTGGTATTTTTCTATTTTTTTGCTTTAGTCCTTGTGGCAAATGCTTGCTGTAAATGGTAATTTTAGCTCACAGCTGTGCTTTTCCATACAATTTTAGTGAGGTTCAGGTTTCTGAAACAGAGCGCAATGAACCATTTATCCGGGTTGATGTGTCCAGCACACACTTTCTGGAATCAAGGCTTCTAGTATCTTTTATTATTGAGCTTGTTTAGTCTTAGTTTAGGTTTCTGAAACCTCCTGACTTGAATATTCACATCTTGACTCTCATCTTATCCATTATATTCTCAGTTCTAGCAGAAATCAAACCCTGAATCACTGAGCCACTGAATTACACCCTTGCAGGTGCTTTACAACAAAATAAAACTAAAGCAAAAAATCCATAACCACAAAGGTCAAAGTAATTCTTGTAAATATTATTCATTTCAGTAGGGCTAGCCCTGAGATAGATCTGTATTTCATTTGCAATTAGCATGAAAAAAGCAAGCGTGCTGGCAGAAACACTTGGAATTATTGAATGGCTTGTCTGTATCATGCCTTTATGCTGGTGCTATTAGTTCCTCACTGCTAGAAGTATTTAATTTAGGCCAGCTAGTCTAAAATTAAGGGCTCAGACAGACAGCTACTTGCATCCACATTTTTAATTAATCACAGAGTTTCTACCATTGAGGGAATGGAATACCACCCAAACACAGTGAACTTATCTTCTGTGATTTCATTCCAGATAGATTTTTAGAAGACACTTGAAGGACAGTAAAAGGAAGGACATTTCTTAAGGAACGATTAAGACAAACAAAAAACAACAAAACAGGAAAACATTAAAAACCTAACTACAGATTTTTATTTATGGCTCTTCTCTTGTCATCTTAAATTCTCCAAGCAAGCACATCAAGCATTTATATGAGGGAAAGATAGCCATGCAAGGGAAGGACTTGTGTTCCCAGCTATTTTTAATGCAGTAAATATCCCTCAGAACTGCTGGTGGTGTTTTTCCTGTTTTGCCCTTCTGCTGGTGGCAGTCACTAGCCTCCAGCCTATCTGAAGAAGTAGCCGGAGTAAAGAAGAAACCAGTATTGCACGGTCACCCACAAAGCACTGTTCACTAAGACTGTACCTTTAAAGTGAAGTCATGCAGATCAGACAAGATACGAGCCTTAAAATAACGTGACCCCCAAACAAGGCACATTACAAGCTGAGACAAAACGACATACAACAAAAGGGCAAGAAGTTCTGGGTTGCTAATAGACTTAATACATGAAACACCTTTCCCTTAATTTGTTTCTAGCTTGCAGTGTTTGGGGAATTCAGTTCCTTCAAAGCAGCTACACAAGTTCCATAGCACATACTGTGACACAACAGGCGTTCTCTTCTACGGAAGCATTCAAGCAGAGGTGTCTTTCAAAGAGTTACACAACCTGTGACTGGGCCCTTAATCGAACTAACCTTTTAATCACTAGGCAAAAAAACCCCCGCCAAAACCCTAGCAGGAGTACACAAAAGCAACACAGGGGATGTTTATACCAATGCTAATCCAACAGTCTAAGCACACTCATGCAGGAAGGATTCCTAGGGTGAAGGGTCAGCAAATCTAAAATCCAAAATGGAGAATTCAGGCTGTGTGAATCAAGTTCCCAAAGCAAAAGAAATGCCTCTGGCAAAACTGTGGTTAAACAGTGGCAGTTAGACTGCTTGGAAATTAAAAAATTCACGAGCTGCTAAGAGTGTTCAATGCACTTGTGTTCAAAGCTTGTATTTGACAGATTTGTGATCAAACCTGTCAGAGGGACACAGATGAAGAAAAAGGTAGAAAAGCAAACTAAAGTACCAGTGGAAGACAGAAGAGAAGGAAAGCTGAACTACAATCAGAACCCAGAAGTTGATAGTCACTGTAATGCAAGTGATGCAGCTGGGTGTTGGTCCCTGGATTCTGGGCCAGTTCTGGTGGTCCATAACTTGCAGACCACTAAAACATTCCTTTGCAGGACAAGTTCATTCAGTTAACTTGTAGTTGACTAAAACATATATTAATACTCAAACGACCTCATTTATAGCCACATGTACATAAGACTTCCATGAAATCATTCAACAGTTAAAAGCAGTATCAGTTCTCATTATTCTACTTAAAAATTAAATCATTCTGGTTTCTTTCATTTTGTTGATAGACTTAAATTATAGCAAAATTTCTATGGCAGCAGAACGCAAAGTGCATTAGTGTAGCATAATCCTCCACTTCCCCACCCTCAACCTCTGCTATTATAAGTGACAAAAACATTTCTGCCTTGCTCCCACAATATTGGCTGTCTATAAGAAAGTTTCAGAACCTAACAGAGATTTTTATCTCTTTACATTCCACATAAAAAGGCATAAACTTTCTAAAAATACTGCACATTTTTAGAGGATTCAGAAAAGACACTGTGGAAGGTATCAAGAGCCCCATTTCCTCTGGAAGCCACAGAAATGTATGCTGAATTGATTCCATGCAGAAGTGTACACAAAAATTGTAGAAGGGCAGCAGTACTTGGGACAAATTCTTATTAAATTTTAGCCCAAAGTATTGGAAGTCTTGGAAGATCACCTGTTAAAGCTGTGACCAAACTCTCCAAAGAAGGACAGTTTGCGTGATACTTCAGTTATGATGAATTATTGGATGATATAATAATATATGCATGATACAGAATAACACTGGAAAAAAATTCCTTTTGCAAGGCACAAATCCAGGAAATTCTGATCTTATCCCTTATTTCCAAAACTTTTAAAATTGAAATGGAGTTTAAAGTTGAAATGCTCAATTAAAAATTTGCACCAGTTTAGCCAGCAAATGAGACATGCCACTTTACAAAAGAATAAGATAAGAAGACAGGATGGGTGTGGAAAAGAATGATGCTGAGCAGAACAAAGCATTTCCTCCTGAAATATTGAAAGAACACATTTTCTGATAATTAATCTTACCTTTATAATCTTTTCAACACCAGAAGAACAGATCATGTAAGTGTGAGGATTAAACCGGACTTGGTTTACAATTGACCGATGACCTTTCAGTACCATAAAAGCACCATTGACGACCCGGCCAATGCCACCTAGGAGATAAACAAGCACACGTTAAATTAAGTAATTAAATCTTCATATTACTTTCATTCATAATTATTTAAAGTCATATTATATTTGACAATGCACTTCAGCTCTATTTTGCAATATTTTAAGGCCTGTGTTGGCTGCAGAATTCCAATTTTATGAGCAATGCCCCTGTGAGAAGCTGCAAGTTTGATGAAAAGCATCCTTCCTGCAAATTACAACTTGGAGGCTAGCTTTAGTTCAACCATCTAAACAAAGAATGAAGGTTTTTGACCTAATACGACAAGTATGTGAATAAGAACAACATACATACTTAATGAAATCACCAGTGAAACCACAGTGCCTAAGGCATGACACTACTCACAGTTTGTAAATTTGAAGCAGAGACAAATAAAAGAGGTTGACTTTTTAAACAGCTGTACTCTTTTTAAAAAATATTTCTTTTTAAAATCAGCAATTCATTACTGTCACAGCTGACTCTACTCCGATGGGTAAGAATCTAAAGGAGGCTATCTTCAAGGCTACTAACCTGAGTTACCACATTACAGCTGGTCTTAGTATAGCCTTCCCTAGACCAGGATCTGTAACAATTTGTATTTCTGTAAATCAAGCTTAAAGAGGGACCTGAAATAACACATCTGACCAGTGGCTTATATCACTCTTTGCCACAAGGCAGGGAATTAGCTAAAGCGCAATGTTTTTGTACTAATGGTAAAATTCAAAACAGAAGCCAGACAACTTTTCTGCTTGTGGTCACTGGTCTACACACCAAAGCAAGAAACTGTCACATGGTAACTTTTTATACTCATAGATTTACACAACTAAAACATACATTTGTTAGAAAGCACTTTGTCAGAAAGTATCCGACTAAACAAGTGTCAATCAACATGCCATGATTACATCTTCAATGAAAGAAACCAGAAGTTTTAAAAGAGGGGAAGTAAAAACTGAAAGCCACTTCAGAGGAAAACAATCTTGCTATTTAAAACTTCAAAGGTCGTAAGCACGCCTTACAGAAAGTTAAAATAATTTCACTAGCTTCTCTGCTACTTATAGTCATCTTAACACTAAACAAGTAAACTTTATGTTCTTCTGGCTAGAGATGTTTTCTATCCTCCTTTGTCCTCCACAGGAGCTCTTTCAGCTGAAAGAGCTGCTGGTTTAAGCCCTAAGCCCAGTGTTGAACAACTTCTAAAACAGAGTCAAGAGTTCTGCAATACACATTTCATAAAGAAAAACTTGCATTAACACTGAACAGTAACAAGATAAAAGGGTCAAGGGAAAAAAAGAAAAATAATTTAAAAAAAGGTATTCCTGTATCACCTATCACTTTCCAGTTGTTAGGTTACATAAATGATAAAGAACTGCAGCTAGTGAGCTTGTGTTCAGCCCCTTTCCTCTTAGAAAAAGTACTCTAGCCCTTCCACTCATTAGAACTACACTCTGAAGACCAGACCGGTGTGTACACGGTGTACAAACCATGATAAGGATTCAGAAATGAGGGGTCATCCAACTCCTAAAACTACACAGAGAGATCTTTTTAGTGATTCTGGAAAGTGTTCTGCTTGCACAAATAAATTTTTGCAGACCAAACTGCAGTCTCATGGCACTTTGGGACAGAAGATAATGTGCCTGAAGAAGGGAAAAGAGCTGGACCAAAACACATGGCTGTTTCAAAGTCTTTGTATACAGAATGAAGGCTCATTTAGAATTAAAACTTGAAGGGGAGACTATCACTCCAGTTAACTTCTAAGTATGTTCATCGAAACTGTACTGAGACTGAGCTACCTGGAACAGTTCTCTTATTTGCGTACACTTTTATTTTCTGTAAAGGTTCAGAAATGAGTTCTGCCTTCAGCCACTGGAGCAAGGTTTCACCAGTGTAAGCAAAGTTGACTGAGAAGTAACTGATTGGAGAGTAAGTTTATTAAATGCCAAATTGGGATCTTTTGATTTTCTTTTCCATTTTATGAGTTTCCTTGCATCCTTTCATTCTGCTCACCCTGCTAGACATTCATGACCACATTTATGGCTAATGGCAAGTTGCCCTACTCCCACAGCATTCCTTTCAGCCAAATCACAGTTGTCAATCCAATTGCATCTATCAAGCCAATGGTAGATGGTTACATCAAGTCCAGTTCTCAACACATTTATCTTGACCTAGCAGACAAATGTTCCAGGAGAGAGAGCCTCAAGAGTAAAGAGACCATTTGCTTAGGAAATGTTTCCAAGTCTGTAAATAATGCCTAAAACAAGTTTTAACTATCCATGGACTCTAGCTGCCTGAATTCAGTAAAAAGCAAGAAATATGCCCTACAAAACACTGACAAAACAGTCAGAAGTTAGAGAGACAACAAGCAAAGAAAGAATTGTAATGGACATGAAATACAAATTTAGGGCACCAATATCTTGGGCTGCATTTCCAAGACAGCCATTGGCTTTTTGTGGTACTGTCAGCAGTGTGAATTATCGTGTGCTTATTTTCCTAGTTAAACAGTGAAAACAGTTATTTAATGCCAGAACTGTCTTCTGGCACTAAATGTTTATCAATACACTAAGAGCACTGGATGAAAAGTGCACAGCATGCCATGTCTAGAACACTGCTCTCCCAGGCTGTAGTCTAACTCAAAAAGGGTCCAAAGCCCAGAAAGCCCATTGTATCCTGGTCTGCATAAAAAACATTGTGGCCAGCAGGTCAGGGGAGGTGATTCTGCCTTTCCACTCTGCTCTGGTGAGACCCCACGTGGAGTACTGCATCCAGCTCTGGAGTCCTCAGCACAGGAAAGACATAGACCTGCTGGAGCAGGTCCAGAGGAGGGTCACGAAAATGATCTGATCAGAGGGATGGGACACCCTCCTATGAAGAAAGGCTGAGAGAATTGGGGTTGTTCAGCCTGCAGAAGAGAAGGCTGCAGAGAGACTTTTTACCAAGGCCTGTAGTGACAGGAGAGAGGCAACAGCTTTAAGCTGAAAAAGCATAGATTTATATTGGATATAAGGAAGAAATTTTTTACAATGACAGTGGTAAGACAGTAAAAAAGTTGCCCAGAAAAAGCTGAGGATGCCACATCCCTGGAAATGTTCAGGATCAAGTTGGATGGGGATTTGAGCAACCTGATCTAGCTGAAGATGTCCCTGCCCATGGCAGGGGGGTTGGACTAAATGATCTTTAAAGGTCCCTTCCAACTAAAATAATTATGTGATTCTATGAAGGGACTCCAAAGCTTTCTGCTTTAATATTGAAGTACCCTGAATTCCTTTTAAGCTGTTAAGAGTAAAACCAGAGGAAGCATAGTACTAGAACATACTTCACTCTGCTTAGAGTGAAGGTGAGCTCCCCTACAAAGCCCCTGAAAACAACTAACTGCCCAGTTACAGGAAAAGTCCCCAGGAGCAGATTACTGCAATCACAAATCTTAGCAGTCAGCTTCTTCCAGTAGTACAAGAGGTTTTAATAATTTAAACCAGAGAGTATTGACTCCAGCAATACTCTGATAATCTTTATGTCAAATATAACAGACTACCCCAGAACCTCATTTTTAGACAACCCCTTGCCTGATGCAATTTTAGTCTACCAACTCCTGTGTTCTTAAGTGATGTCTCTAAGTGCTTAATGCACAGCCTTCTCCATCCTTATCCTGACAGTGGTCCCTTCATTTTGGAGTAGCCCAGCAAAGCTGCTATCATATTACAGGAGTATCTACATGGCAGACACATGCCTGTGTCCAGACTTGTCTGGAATCCCCCTGGTCTCTCAGCAGAAACTTTGCTGCAGCCATACAGTTTCTAGCCGTCTCACAGTGTGAGTTACGTTTACTCATGTTTGCTGGCAAAAAAAAAAAAAAAAAAGTGCATCTGCACATTAAGTGAAGGTTGGCCATAAACTGCTCAAATTCCTGAGCCCATCTTCCTTTTTGGCATGTAATATTTCCTATTTCTTTTTGTTGTCTTCACTTGAACTGGTATTTGTATTGGTATTGTTTCAGCTGTACTGACCGCCGCTCTCCCAACAACACTCAAATTTTGCTTTTGAGGTTTGGGGGTTTTTTGAGGGGATGGAGATGTTGTTTGTTTGCTTCTGAATTTAGTAACATGCACATGTCCTGCAACTGGTTTACCACGGCAGCTTTTATATTCTTAGACAGCTACTATGTGTATAAGCAGTGTTTATACAGAAGCCATTAACTTACATACATGTTATTAATTATAAAAGTCTTGAAGTCTTCAGAGACTGATTATGCCAATTTTAGAAGGCTTCTAACTTGTAACTACTGGAGGGAAGGGACAGAGATATACTAGCTGCTTTTGCAATACTTTCAAAAAATTGCTATGCTTAAGGATAGTTGATTATGCCAATTTTAGAAGGCTTCTAACTTCTAACTACTGGAGGGAAGGGACTTTCAAAAAATTGCTATGCTTAAGGATAGCTCTGAATAGTGGTTTAGTGTTCTGGCTGTGCTGGTCAATGTTTTTTTGGTCTGCTTTTAATTGATACACAAAGTGAAGTGTCAAGAATATCCCTCTTCCTCTACACCCTGCAAATAAGTGCTCCAAAGACGAGCAATACAAAGTCTTACAAAATTCTTTAAATAATATCCTACCACAATATCTGACCAGCTGGAAGAAATAACTTACAAAAGGCTAAATCTGAAGTGTACATTTTAAAACAGATTTCCTCTACAAAGGTTTGACAAGAACACCATGGCAACACAAGGCACATCTACAGGCTCTGATACAGACAGAAGGAAGGAATAATAATAATACAATACTTTGAAGCAGTACATGTCTAGTAAGTTGCCCAAGTGAGTACTTCTTGATTTGCTTTATTATTTTATGTTTTAAGTATTAGGCTAATGAAATCCTCATGAATTATGTAGTTTTGCAAATATTTATGCAAATGAGTTGATGTTTCACATATTGATAACATGCCGGATGGTACATATCATCACATTTTAAAAAACACTACTAGATCATAATGGAAAGTGAGGTATTTGGACAGCAATCT